TGGGTTCAGATTTTCTGTATATTAGATTGGGGAAAACAGAGAAGAACACTGTTTTTTTGTTGATTCTTGGCAAGCTGAAAAAATCAAGTTCCACCTGCCAATAAATTGTATACATTTCAATACAGAAGAGTGAAATATCTATAGAAGGGCCAATAGAAAACTAGTATAGTAGGCAGCACAAGCCAAATTAACACAATTACATTCACACAATTGCAAAACATGGAAAGAGAGAAAGGCCCATAAATTCCAAAACTGTGAAAAAGTTTGAAAAACTAAATCTTGAATCTGAAACTGAGAAAAAAACTCACCTGAACTGAAGTGCATAGGCTTAATTGCAGGAAAGGGGAGATTGAAGGCTTATATATAAAAATATTGGAGGGTTTGACTGTTCTTTTGATCGAGGACAGTGAAATTAATAATTCTGAAAAATCAATGCAAGGATATTTTGGAGTCTAAGTCTAAAGCAGACCCTCTTAAATACAAATAATATAGCTCGTGCACAGAAGAAATGTTGGACTGAAAAGTTGAAACCTTTTTTCTTGCACAGTTGTATTGTACCACATTGTACACTGAGAAATTTCTGTATGCTTTCTTGAACATGGGAATGCAGAAAAACTTTGGTGGGTCAAATTCAAAGGCTGTGATTAATAAAGTAGTAATATGTTTCAAAAGCACGAGCTTTGATGCATTCAAAAAAAAAAAAATTGAATTTATTTTAAGCATTCTTGTTTTTTTCCCTTTGGACTGGAAAAATATTTGGCAGTGGGCTTTTGTCTGTACATCAGCAGTCACCAAATTTGTTGAGGAAAACAGATAGAAGGACGCAGTCAAAGACGGAAAATTCCTATGGCAGGTGCTTCTATGAAGGATCATACATGACTAGCAATAACAACTCCCAACAAAGGGAAAAGATGAAATGATNACAATAAATATGTAAATTATCTTGAGTGGTGGGGATTTGTCATTTAAGCAGTTAATAGGGATTTGATGAATGCCTTGCGGGCTGGTTTAGAGGGATAATTCCACTCGAGTGGGCAATGATATAAATTTGACATGTAAATTTAACAAAGTCTTTGATTAGATGGGTAGAACTAAATAAAATAACTGAATTCATTTCAATGCAAAGATAACGAGTATCTAGTTGAGTTTAAAATAAACTTAAGGGTGAATTGGGTCTATTTTTCTTGTTGACACATAAGTTGGAGCAGTCCACTTCCACTTGCATGGGTGAATTTTTTTTCTTACTTAGAATGTAAAGTTTTTTGAATGGAGCCAAAGTATTGTGAATGCTCTCGATTAGTAGGTGTATTAATTTCATTTTTTAAAAACTTTTGAAAATTTAAAAATATTGGCATATTCGTTTAAGATTTTAAAATGTCTTTAAAAGTGTGCTCATTTGAAATTTTAAGGTCTTAAAAGTTTGATATTTCAAAAAAACTTTAAAAGTTATGAGTATTCAATTTATTTATGAAAGAATTTTTAGGATTTTTTAAAATTTAATGAGATTTAGAAATATAACATAACAAAATTCCACCTCCAGACATGAGATTTCTAAAGATTCTTGTTAAATCAAAAAAATCTTAAATATTCTTGAATTTAAAAAGTTTTAAAATGTCGCTCAAAATTTCAAATTAATACACCCTTCTACACCAATCACATGCCAATGAGTGCATGTTGATCTGATGATTTAGACTTGTAGTGTCCATGCCAATAGGGTGAAATTTGTCGATTTAGGTGGCGATTGGATATAAATCAAAACCGATTTTAATTGGATTTTGAGTTAAAGTAAGTTAATTTTAAATAAAGTTGATTGAGTGGAGGATTGAGTGAGATTTTAAGTTTATATTTAAATAATATTTAAAATATAATGATTAAAGTTGATGCGATGTAAAAGTATGAAAATTATTGGAAATGATAGATGGTTAATATTATGTGAATGAATGAATAGTAAACCAACATTAATGTAATGGGTGAGAATGATTGATAATCATTATATAACTATATTGATAATATTGATGAAAGTTGAATTGAATTAAATTTGAGTTGGTTTTTGAGTTAAAAAAAGTATAAAATAACCATTTATTAAAACAGGTTTTAATCTTAGGATTTTTTTTTAATCAAGAATGCATCTTGATAGACTATTAATCATATTTGTGAATATATAATTGTAAATTCAAAAGGCATGATATGGGGAGCATAGTTGGTTTTCTATGTTTTGCGTAGCTAAAAAACAATTAGTTGATAGGTTTACTCATAAATTTTTGAGCTAACAGTTAAATGTTTATAACTGATAGTTGAATAGACTATCACAAAAATATTTGGCAAATTAGCTAATAAGCCAAATAAGCAAAAACTGTTCCAATAGTTTTTCTAAAAAACATGTAGAGAAAAATTTGAAATTAATTCCAATTTTATTTTGAAAAAGCAAATTCTATTAAATAAAATTATTTTATCATAAAATATTTATAAACTAATCGAATAATTTATAATTCAACTAATTATGATGATTACTAAACACACTTTTAATAAAATAATAATCATCATTTTTTTTCGGGTAAAATATACAAGAACCCCTTGTATTATACGAAATTTGCGTGTTTCCCCCCTATATTTTAAAAATTGCGTCAGACCCCCTTCTATTAAGGTTTTGTATGCGCGAAACACCCAAAATCGTCTAAAATTTGGGTGTTTCGCGCATACAAAACCTTAATAGAAGGGGGTCTGACGCAATTTTTAAAATACAGGGGGGAAACGCGCAGATTTCGTATAATACAGGGGTTTAGTGCATTAAACCCATTTTTTTTCTCCATGAGGTGGAATTGATTTACATTTTTCTCTCCTGGCTCCGAAACCTGCCATGTGCCATGGTCAATTTTGCCGGGATTACAGCTCATTAGTCAGGTTTGACCTATAAATTTGCATATAATTATAATATCAAATAATCAACCCTCCCATTCCCATGAATTCAATTTGATTTATGATCCACATTTCAAATTATTAAATCAGCAAATATACCGACCAATTATCTAACAATGTCCCTGTTACGATATTTATTTTTTAATGGTATAAGTTATCCAAACCACGTATGCCTCTCACATATTATAGATCTCAATAATATTATTTTTTTATTTTTTTATTTTTTTTTCAGGACAAACTTTGAAAAAAACAAAGAGAGAAAAGATTATTTACACAAATGAGTATTTGATGGACCTACTTTGGAAATATAACAATTTTTTTAAGCAGCAATAAATGTGAATAACTAAATGACTAATAAAATGTAGACCCCCACAAAGGTCAAACTTGTTCTATCCTCAGATAATTTAAAAAATGGCATCTAATCTATCATCATGATGTATAATACTATAACTTATAATAAAGTTGGGGCTTTTTAGTTATGGACAGTACAAAGTTGCTAGCCGACTTGTAATATTAGGTTGTTAATGGTGAGACAATAATATGTTTTAATAATTATATATTTTTATTATTAATGTTATATTTAATTTATATTATTAGTAAAATATGATATTCTAAATTAAAAAATATTTATTAAATAAGCATGATTGTCTAAATACTAGTCGATCTAACACCAACATTACTAAACACTAAAATATACTGGTAATCACTAATTTAATATGTCATTTTGCTAGACGGTCTAATAGTTAGACAATCATATTGTTCCAACAAATATCATATTTTTATACTCACACGTCATTACTTCAATACAACAGAAACAAAATATGACATTCACAGTATAAATGCACCAACATTTGTGTTAATATGTAAATATCTATCTACTGTTAAAAGTTTGCAAACTTCACATTTTTTTTTTATTTATATTTGATATTTCAAACAGTTTCAGACACTATTTTTTCTAAATACATCAAATTTATTTGTAAGAAGTACAAAAAAATATTATCTTACTTTATTTTATGATAAAAGATGAATTACTAATAAAAATACTTATTTTCATTTTACATGTAAAATATGAGTGTCTAGTTGAAAATAATATAATTATGATTAATTTAATATATTATACGCAGAGAATAAGTATAAATAAGAAAGGTTTCTATTTTTAAAACAGTAAGACTTCTATTAATATGCAGAAGAAACTGTTAAATAATCATACTTTTAAATTGAAGTGCCATATTATAAACAATAATATAAATTAAAGTATAACATTTTCGTAGCATAACCATATATTTTTGTTCAAAAAAGAAAAGTATGAAGAGTTGGCTAGTATAACGGTTAGGCTCTGTCATATAGAACTATGTTTTAAAAAATAAAAGATTTGGTTGTGCAACAAAAAGAAGAAGAATAAGAAGAAAAATAAGGTGGGAAAAGCAATACAAAGACATGGCCACGGCCCGGCCCGAATGGGTATGGAAAATGTAAAGGAAACCATATTAGGAAAGAGATATACCTAATAGACAAACACTGACATAAGTTATAAGGTTTGTGCTTGTTAATAGATTAATTTGATTTTGATTGGTTTGTTTAGTTAGCCATAGTTAATTTTGAAAAAATTGGTCGAGTGAGATTTTGAGCTTGTATAAAAATAATATTCAAAATAAATAATTAAAGTATATTGAATGTGAAAGTAGAAGAACTGTGATTAATGACGGATAGTTAAAATTATGCGAGTGAATAAATACTGAATTAAAATTGATGTGATTTGTATGAATGATTGATTGATATTATTTAGTTATACTAATAATGTTGAGGATAATGAGATTGAATTAAATTTGAGTTAGATTTAAGCTTGAGATTGAAGTTTTTAGTT